ACCTTCTTTACCGGGTAGCTCTATAAGTAGAGCTCCGGTCTTGGTCCTTTTAGGTTTCAGCGGACCCTCGATCCCAATGTCTTTTAGCGAGATCTTATTTCTAGCCTCTTTCATCAAGGTCTCATATTCGCCCTTAAGGCTAGTAAGGACCACTGCCGCCGTTTTTGGTGGGCGTCTAACTTTGCTGGCCGTACCAGATCCCTTCGCTGTATCCGTCCTACTTTTGTTTTGAGTAGGTGGTTTGTTCTTGGCTTGTCCTTGGGTTTCCTTACTTGGACCCTGCCCTTTCACAGCTTGTTTCTCTTTGGATTGCTGCTGATTTCGTCTCTCCTGCGTCGGTTTAGACGGTGCCTTCCCATTTTTCTTGGTCTTCTTCCTTGTTACTTCCGCCCAGGACAATTGAGACGGGGGCTGCTCCAAGGGTGGATTGACCAACGCCACCTCATTATTCTCTGCGCTCCCGGCCTTGCCCTCAGCCCGTACTGGTTTGGGTGCCGCTTGCGCTGACGGTAGCGAGGTTGACTTGTTAGGGGGTTTTTCTTTCTCCCCTTTGCGTCCCTGCTTTCCACCTTTCTCCGCCTCGATGACTCTGCCTCGGGGCTGAATCGGCTGTGTTTGGGCCGTGACCGGTCCGCCCGCGGCCAACGCATTCACCGTCCTCAACAGGGTCTCGAGTAGTGAGGCCGTCTTTTCCATTCCGGCCTCAATCACCTCTATCCTCTTCAGCATATTGCTGTCTACGGCGTTCCCAATCCCTTGTCCCGGCACATCAGAATTACCAAGTTCCATACCAGCATCAATGACAATTTCTGGATCTGTGTTCATCGTTATGTCCTCCACCTCTGCAGGGATAGCTGCCTCTATTATTGCTGAAGATTTCCCTCCTAGAGGGGGTCTCCTTACCTCAGGTGCACCATCTCTGACTACTTCTTTTAACAGGCGCAGTCTATTTCTTTCTGCAGCCTCTCTCTCCCTCTTCTCGCTTTCCTTATCAAGCCTCTCCCTCTCTCTTAATAGCTGATCCCTTCTCTTGTCAGCTTCTATTCTTTCTCTCTCGATCCTCTCTTTTTCTTTCTTACTGTTATCATCTTCGTCAGAAGATGAGTCGTCTCTTATAACGTTCTTTCCCCTTCTGGATCGTTTTTTCTTTGGAGGTTCTTCTTGGACACGGCACAGAGGCCTGTCTTCCACATCTACCTCCATATTCCAGCTATTGTTTTCCTCAGTTTTTTTCTCTAGCTGGGCAATCTTCTTCAGGAGCTTGGCATTTTCACGCCTCAGCTCCTCGACTTCAAAGTCTTTAACGATTGGTTCGTCGGCACTCACTCGATCGACCAGGTGGGCAGCTGCAGCTGAGATCACTGAAACCGCCACGTTAAGACTTCTTTTGTCTCCTCCTTTGAGCGAACCGCACGTGGTGTTCACCTTGTCTACGGTAG